GCTCCCGCGGGGGGGGGGGGGATGGAAGGGGGGGCGGGGGCACGGGATGGAAGAGGGACATGAGGTGGTGGGGGAGATGGGCGACGACGTGGGGGGGGGGGCGGCGAGAGGGGCAGGGGGGGGCGCAGGGGGGCAAGAGGGGGGGGGGGGGGGCATTGGGCGGGGAACGGAAGGACAAAGGAATATGATGTTCAGCAACGGGTGTCCTACCAGGTGGGGGCGAAGGACAAGAAGTGGGGTGGCGGTGGGAACACGGGGGGGGGGGGGGGGGGGCAACATTCGTAGGGCGATCTCGGACCACTTTCCTATGAGTTTGGGCTGGGCACCCTTGGCCCCCCTGCGGGGCCCTACCCGGTGGGTCGGGGGGAGGGGGGGGGTCGCGTGAGAACATCGACCACCGCATTGTTATGCCCTTTCCTCTTGCGTTCCCAGTGCCCCCCACCGGACGCTCATGCATCCCCCTCCCCTTTGAGCGCTACGTTCTACAAGGCCCTGGTCCCGCGCGTTTCTTTCCGTGGCCAATTTGGCTCAAGATCATTACTTGCGCCGGTCTTGTTTTTTTCGTTCGTCGGGCTTGTGGGCCCGACGTGTGCTTCAGCGCTCGCGACGGCTTCTTCGATGGTGACGCCTCTGAAGAGAGGCAGCTCGTCTGGTGTCTTCTGTCCGAGCCCGTGCGCCATCAAACCTCCGAAGTTCGAGCCGAAGTCAGGCGCGGCCCAGGACTGCGAGGGCGCCAGCGGTGAGCGGATGCAGCTCCAGCGCATCATTTCGGATTGCCAGTCGAACCGCCCGCTGACCAATATCTTCTTCAACGAGATGATGGTGCCCCAGCAGAGGATGAGGACTCACGACGCCACCTTGGGCACGTGGGACAACGTGCCGAAGAACATCGTGGGCCTCTCGGACATGTTCGTGATGAATTGGGTCACCGGCAAGAGCGACTTGACGGAGGGCCACTTGGTGGCCGCAAAGAAGTGGGACCCCGAAGCCGCCCACAAGATCATGATCGGAATGATCCAGCTCCCAGAGACGTTGAAGATCGTCGGGGAGCTCGTCCACGTACCTGTGATGGTGAGGCTCCTCGACTACCAGTTCGAGCATAATGGGAAGCGCTTCAAGAATGTCGTCGCAGACGGCGGCATCGACTCCCACGGCCGCCTCTACTTCGCGGACGTTGGCGCCTACAAGCTGGAGTGCACCAACCACGAGCTCACCGCGGTCGAGCGCGCGGCTACAGGCGAAAAGGTCAACGTTGACCCACAGGAGTTCCTCGTCACTGACAAGTGGGACCTCGCGAGCAACTGGGGCGACGTCAGCGCCGAGGTGAAGCGCCCAGGCCAAACAGGGGGGAAGTTGTGCGGCCAGTTCACGAGGCCCTCGCAAGATGGCCCACTACGCTGGCGTCAAGAACACGGCGCTCCGCACTTTGATCGAGCGGTTCCACAGGGGGGCGGTGGTGGGCGTGAAGGCCAGCGCGGCGAGTCGATCCTCCGACGAGCTCCAGAAGAAGCTCAAGGCGGCCGAAAATGAGAGCAGGAAGGCGCAGATGGAGGAGGCGAAGACCGCCTGCAAGGGGGCCCTCAAGAAGAAGAAGGAGCTCCGCGCCAGCCGCGGCAAGGCCAAGGCGAAGCCCAAGGCGGCCGCGAGCTCCGCATCGGCCCCACCACCCGCATAGGCATACAATCGTGGAGATTGAGTTCGCGTCAGCGGCGAAGGGGTCGTCGCTGGCCAGACGGCCGCGCTGGGCGCGGCGCCGAGGCATCTCGTTTGCGTTGCGCGTGCTCTGTGTGAAAATTGTGTCGTACTTGCGTCGTGATTTGTACGGCGCGCTTCTCCTCCAACTACTTCCATGCTCACTGAGCGGGGGGAGGCAGGGGGAGAGGGGGGGGGGGCAGGGTCCAGGATGCGACGTTTGCGCCCTGTCCTTCGTGGCTGCTGGCTTCCATTGCTGGCCCCGCGTGCCAGGGTGCAACGCTTGCATCCTGGGCCTCGTCGCTCCTCTGAGGCCCCAGCGGGGCCGACCATCCAGGTAACCGATGGCGCCATATTGGCATCTTGATTTGGGCCGCTTGCGGCCTTCGCTCCGCTACTGGCGAGGGGGGGGGGCGCTCCTGGGTTGAACTTCTGTCCAGGCTGTCCGTGCCCAGGTCTTGCCGTCGCGCTGAGACCGCAGTTACTCGACGAGCGTGCGCTCGCCCTCATGGAGACATGTACGCCCACATTCACAGTAGCTGGCGGCGCAGGCGCCCCAGCTGACTCGAATACCGACCAGTCAGGCCTCGAGCTATTCGAGAAGCCGCGCGTGGGCATGGTCTTCATGGGCAAGGTCGACGAGGCGAAGTATTTCCTCACGAACATCGCGACGCAGGAGAGCGTCTCGTTGCAGGGCGACGGCTGGGAGTTCGTCGAAGACGAGGGCTTCTACGCTGCCGTTCGCGACGTCGTCGGCGTTGGCGGGCCTGATGGCGAGAGTCCTGCGGCAGATGTGATACTGATTGATGAGGTGTTCACGAGGCCCGCTTTCGTTTCGGACCTAGGCGAGACCTACGTGAAGATGAAGGGCCAGTTCGTGTCTCTGGACATCTCGAAGACCAGGTTCAAGCAGTCCACCTTCAGCTTCGAGGGCGGCCCGACGAGGCTGCACTTTCTCGTGTACTTGTTCGTCGTTCCCCGGTCGCGCGGGATGCGAGGCTTCTGGGACTTGCACAAGGTCTACCAGGAGATGGGCTTGGATCAGTTCCATGGCCAGCCAGCCCACTGGGTGTACCGTCAGTCTTCGGCATGGAAGCGCTTCGCTGAGCAGGTGTTCAAGGCCCCCCACATGGTGGACGGCTCCCAGACCAAGGCGGGCCCCGACGACGCGTCCTGGGTGAACATGTGTTTGCCCCACAAGGCGTGCTCCACTGCTCTCTTGATCTTCTTAGCAGGGCTGTGGTCCAATGCTAGCGCCAGGACTGGTGGCTGCAAGGACGTCAAGCACAGGAACGCGGCGGACTCCGTGTTGAAGGCACTGGGGCACGCCGCTGGCGTTGCAACCGAGAAGGGCGTCGCCTTGACTATCGACTTCGAGGGGGATTGGGTTCCGAGATGGCCGAGGCCTGCGCCATGCCACGTGACGCCGGTGGATCTCATTTGCAGGGGCATGGTGATTGACGTCGGGCCGCTGCATCGGCTGATTTCGGATATCGGCTGCCGTGGTTCTTTGCCAGCCCGCTATTTCGGGACCGTCAAGATGGCGATCGTCCAGGGCACATCGGCATCGTTCGCTTCTGTCTTCCAGCGCTTGCACGGCGTCAAGAAGGACAATAGCGTTGCCACGAGCTTCTTGCCCCAGCTGACCTTGCAGCTCGCGTACAAAGTGGAGCAGGGCTTAAGAGCGACGTCCCCCGATGACGGACACTGGGACTTGGCGTGGCAGTCTATGCGGGACGGGTCAACTAGGTATGAGTTGGAACACTTGCTGGTGAGTTACGCAGTGGCATCCCGCATGGCTTCGGAAGGCCAGCAACATTATGTCATTGCCACTGGTGCTCATGACGGATGCGGCCTCAAGCTTCACAACACCGGCATCGGCATGAAGTCCAATGTGTTGATCGTTGCTGCACCTCAGGCTCGATTGACGTCAACGCACATACGCGCGATGGTGATCTCGACGGCAGGGGCGATGGCTTCGGCTCAAGGGGCGCGGGTGCATTGAGGTTTTGCTTAAGGGCACGATGTTCCGCGCATCAGGTATGCTGCCACATTTACAGCTCCATGAGGGCGAACATTTGGCCACTGACTTGAACCCTCCCCGAGAGATTGTTATTTTCGCGGTGAGTTGGCCGATCTCGATCGGATCCTCTAGGTCGAGCGCGGCTTCGAGACTGAGAACATCAACGCCGAGAAGGACGTGAACATGGGCGCACCGTCGACTACGCTATGGGTGCCACCGTCGTCACAGAGGCGCGCTGCTTTCTCCAGGGGTGCTCCGCCGCTGGGTCGGAACAGTGCTGGCGGCCTAAGAATCTGCACCGCGTTGCCGCGCGGAGGTGGCTGGATAACATCGACAACCAGCTCAGGGGCTTCGTCGGCATCGAGGGCCTCGAGCGGTTCGTGAAGAACGATGACAAGAAGGGCGACCGGATCACGCCTTAAACTCACAGCTCGGGTAGCGCCACCTCGAACTACGGAAAATGGAAACCGACCACTTTCGTCCCACAGTGGTCGGTTTCCGTTTTCCGTAGTTCGAGGTGTGCTCGTGATTCACTTGCACGCTCTCTGCATTGCTGCCATTGCTGCCCCCCTTCCCCTTCGCAGGAGTGGCACTCTGGGAAAACGTGGCCATCTCTTACGATATGCATGGACCTGGGCGCAGACGACACCTCCGCGCTCCACGCCTTACTATACAAGTGGGGGGGCCAATGTCACCCAGTGGGCTGATGGGCCCCACGGTGCGAACATGGACTTCAATTTGCTGCTCAACAAGCTCCACCTGGAGAGCTCCTGGGTGCTCATGTGCTGCTCTTGGAACCTACCCCACGGCAGGCCCGAGCACAACGACGACAGGTACTCGCAGCTCCGCACAGCGATGCTGCATCACTTCGAGACTGAGGATCCCATGACGTCGGTTCTCTCCCAGGCCGTCCTTCCCAGCCCCAGGCAGGAGCTCGCCAGTGCTGGCGTGAACTTCCCTGGGGGGGGGGGGGGGGGGGGGGGGGGGACTTGGGCTCGGAGGTGCAAGGGTCGTGTGTCTTCCCTCGCCTTACCCCCCTCTCGTTGGATACGAAGCCGTTCTGGCAAATCAAAGCCGCATCGTGTGTAGGTCAATATTTCCGACTCGTCTTGGCCAGAGGTTTTGTTTCTGTGTGATTGTTGGCTCCGACGGTCGAAGATATCAAAATCTGGTTCCCGAAAACCGCCCGCTAAGGGTCCCCAGGGGTGGTTTCTGTCGTGGACAGAACCCCCCCCAAAAAAAAAAAACATTCCCTTAGGGGGGGGGGGGGTTCTGTCCGCCGCAGGTCTGGGACTACTTGAAGGCCCAGCTCCCCTTCAAGCCCAAGGACTTTAAGTGCTCGTTCGGGCGTTTCCTCTCGGTGGTGAAGAAGCCGATGGGTCGACTGCCCGAGTGGAAACAGGACGCCTTCTGCAGGACCTACATTGCGATCGAGTGCGACTTCTTGGGGGGCGAGAAGTTCGGAGTCGAGATTCGCGTGGCGGGGGCGCCAGCTGGGTCCGCTGGCGACCTTGCGCACACCCACCGATCCGTCATCGGCACGATCGACAGGTCCGTTCGCGACAGCTGCGCTAACGCTGTGAGCCTGAGCGCGTTGATGCTGTCCAACGAGAGCAACCGCAGGCTGCGCAGCTGCGTGCTCGCAGCCTGCCAGCCTCTCAAACTGCGGGAGGGGCGCGCCGACAAGGTCTACCGACCCGCGGCCGAATGCAGGGACTGGGCCATCGACCAGGCCACTGTTGGCTTCATGGGCCACTTGAATGCGATGTTCACGGCGTTGAGGCCACCAGGCTTCGTTGCCGACGCTGGCTTCGTCACTGACGCAGTCCAGTCACTCGCTGGGGAGTTGGAGGTGGTGCTGGCCGTGGAGGCGGAGTTCGCGGACATCGTCGGCAAGGCTGTGAGCTCGCTGGCGGGGTTGCGCGTGCGTAGAGGGCTCTGGTATTTGCATGGTTGGCCTCAATCGGCTTGCGCCTTCCTCAAGGACCAGGCGTGGCAGGATAAGACCACGGCGAGGTTCACGAGGGGCGAGGACAACTTCAAGAAGCTTTCGGAGATGGGCCACGCGGCCGCCTACGAGAAAAGGTCAAGGGCCGCCACCAGTTCAACGCGACGCCCGTCAAACAGCTCGTTCGAGCGCTCGAGGAGACAGGCCATCGCGTGACAAGCGACGTGGAGAAGAATATCGATGGCGTGGTCGGAGGCCCACTTCAGACCCAGCTGATCGAGGATATCAGCGGGGTGCAGAAGAACAGGAAGAGGGCGAAGCACAGCGCCACCTTCAGGAAGCCAGAGGCCTGCTTCGCCGCCGCGCTCGAGAGCAACGCCGTTTCCGATAAGCACAGGTCCGTCAAACAGAGGACCAGGAAGCTCCCGAGGGACACGTTCGAGCCGAAGGTCAAGGATAGGAGCCTTCCATTCGATGATATCGTCAGCACGACCTCTACAACAGCGCGGCATTACCTTTGCCGCAGTGACAACTGCGTCAAGGCCGCCGACCTCCAGATGATCGAAGACGCGAAGGACGCTGCGGGGTTGATCCCAGTCGGGATGCTCCAGAAGGCTTGGCAGGGCGTCTTGCTGGACGCGACGCACAATCTCGTGGTGGGCATCCAGAAGCGCGACGGCCCCGACATGACGTATTACTTGGCCTTGGTTTCGTTCGGGTCGTCCTCTTGCGCCGTGTGGCCGTTCAAGGCCAGCAGAATTCCAGGACGCGATGCGGAGTGGTTTGGCCTCGCCGAGGACTGCAAGAGCCCGACCTTGATCGCGTTCTTCGACATGACTACCGTGACTGCCTGCAGTATCGAGTTGCTCCCTCCGCTGAACGTGCTCCGCAGGTTCCCGAAGGCCAGGGACTACTTCAAGAACTCCATCGCCGTGCTCCCCATCAGGAAGGGTTCCTGGGGGGAGTTGCCCAAGGTGGCAGCTCGTGCAGCGTTCTGGTCGTTGGGTAGGTCGACGTCGGACCAGATCGCGGAGTTCGCGGGGGCTCCGATCGAGAGAGGGTCGCCCTAAGCTGGCGAGGAGGAGTTGCTGTGAGCGGGCGCGGGCTCGCACAATTTAGGCGAAAAGCCGAAAAGTCGTAAAGTTTACGACTTTTCGGCTTGTCGGGTTTTCCCGTTTACGCGAATAGATCGTTCGGGCTGCACATTTCGGCGTCAGGTTTACGGGTTTACGGATTTGCGGGTTTCCCCGCCGCCCCCCCCCCCCCCCCAGCCATGCGAATGGTCAGTTCCAGGTGCGCATTTCGGCTTCAAGTTTAGAGGTTTACGGATTTGCGGGTTTTCCCGCCCTTCCCCCGCCCAGCCTTGTTCGATTTCAGCAGTTCCAACGGGTGCGCGCGCGGGGTAAAGATGTTCCTCCAATCCTTCCTCGCCCGGCGACCGCGCAGGCCAGTGAAGCAGCAGACTCAAGCGGCCCATTCGAAGGGCGTGACATCCAACGGGCTGACGCCAAACAGGCGTGCACTCAATCCAAGCTTGGCGGAACTCCGACGTGGATGTTTTTGCCGCGTGGCGAGTGGCCGCCTGCCGAGGAAAAACATGCGCAAACTTGTGTGCCCGCTTAGGCTTTCGCTATGCGGTCGTCTCGCCTCTGGAGGACACTGGGAACAGCATTGTGAGGGGCGCGTTGTTTCGAAAGGTTTTATCATCATGGGTAACCCATGGCGTAGTAGTTACTTTCGTCCGAAGCTGCGAGTCGTTCGTGTTTTATGTCGATGACTTCGAACTTGCTGGGCCGAAAGACAACCTCGACAAAGGGTGGCGTCTTTTACCAGGGCCCTCCGAGGTTTGCCCTAGGGGCATATAGTTTCTTCCCTCCTACATATGTGGGGCGTTACCTAGGATGTGAAGATCATCTGTCCACGCAGTACGCATAATGGCAAGGATAACTACATGCTGTGCTTGACCCGCCGCCGCCGAAAATTATGAAACCACTCGCATCTGCGCAGCAACCCGAGAGCGATGGCGAGATTGCGGGGGTGGCTCAGCGGCGCAGCCGGTTGAGCCCTATCCGAGTAAAAATCCAAGGATGGTCCGAGCCATTGAATATGAGATGTCAGTTTTTTTTGCTCCGAATCATGTGTCACTTCGCATGCGCAGTTAACTGACGCTGGCCCCGCTGCATACCCTGCCGCGGGTGCACCTTTCGGCCTTGAACTTATTGAATGTGAGGATGGGCAGGGACGCACAAGGGGTGAGAAATACCCCCCGGCGGAGGAGGCATTGGACAACTCGCTGAGGCTCAATGTCGACTCCGGTCCTCCGGACAAGCAGGTCGAGGTCCCCGGCTTCGCCGCGGAACCTGGCCCGCGTGACCCAGAGCCACCGACTACGTCGGGTGTGCTTCAGCCGATTGCCGCTAATTTTCATGTGAAAATATTTTACGGGGCGAGAATGGCTCGATTCGATCTCCTGCGCGCAGTGTGCCACGCAGCTAGCTGCGCTGCGGAGTGGACGGAGCAACGAGATATGGATCTTTCCCGCATGATATGTTACATTAAATCGACAACTCAGTACAAAATGACATCGTGGGTTGGCGATGGGGTGGAAGATGTCACAGTCAGGCGATATTCAGATGCTGATCTTGCCAGTGACTTGCGAGCGCATCGCATCGCCAGTGCCAGCCATCAAATTATTTGGGCACCCTGCCCGAGGGCCTACCAGGGCATGGCTTCTCGTGGACAAACTTGCGTCTCCCACAGCACACTTGAAGCAGAAATCGTTGCGGCAGACCTTGCGCTGCGGACAGAATTGTCGCCTGCGCCGCCCCTGTGGGAAATTCTGCTACAAAGAAAAACAAATGCGCATTTATGGAAGCTGACCAAGCAGTGCGCAAGGTCATCAAGGCGGGGGGCTCGATGGGGTTAACGCACCCCCCAAGAACACACCGCACGCATGCCGCCGCCATTCCCGAGCATTTTTTCCGAGGGGCTGTTGATTTACAGTGCGAACGCACGCAGAGCGAAGCCGCTGATTTCGGTGCCAAGCGTTTTACAGACCCACTAGCATGGGTCAATGTGTTTACGTCGTCAGTAGCGCCACTCGCAAATTTTGAAAAGTCACCCGCTACCAGGACTACCTGGCGCCGATGTTCACTGATGGCTTTCCCCTGAAAAGGGGGGGGGGGGGGGGGGGGTTCTCGAGCCGCGGATGGTTTCCAAGGCGGTGGTGCGCCAGGGAGCTATTGCGCCAAGCGAAATGATGCATAGAAAGAAGAGGGCCACCAAAGGCAAGCTTGCGATGACTATACCTAATACAGAGGTGGTCCAGGAACCGGTTACACCGCCAGCTGGTGCAACCAGGCGTGGTGGCCAAACAATGCGTCCGACACCGACTTCCGGCTCAGCTGCTGTAGCCGAGCAAGGTGTCAATGATGCATCCGGCGTAGCCGAAAACGGATGCGGCACAATACCTTCCGCTATAGTAAAGGAAGGTTTCAGGAAAAGCTCTCATGAGCGCAAATCGAGAGAAGACAAAGAAAGTATGGCCATGTTTGATATGGCCGACAGCGAATCAGACGCTTCGGATATGTAAATACAGATTTCCAATACCCAGGAAATGCTTGAAGAAGGGGAGAACGATAACAGGATTCCCGACGCGTCCGCAGCCAAATTGAAAAACAATGGGTTGGCCCAGTCGACACCACAGCAAGAGCAGGACCAATCGGTAACGGATTATGAGTGGAACGGTGAACGATTTATATTGGAATATTGTTGTGGACCCAACCGTAGAATCGGCAACCCCACGAATTTTTGTTGATACTTCTTCTAGAGTTATACGGTATACCGAGCGCGCGGACATGAGAAAGGATGCGGGTAAATTTAAGGCTCTAGCGTATATACAGGAGTCCACTGGTAAACGCATGTCGCTCTGGGGTTCGATCCCATGTGCGGGAGGCTCTCCCTGGCAACATGTTAGTGAAGCCCACCCCCCTCTTTTGTCCCCATCCACCCCCTTCCCTCCCGTCCGTCCTTCTCACTCCCCTCTCGTTCTTTTCCCCTCCACTCCCTCCCCCTCCTCCCTCCTTTCCCCCTCCCCCCTTCGCCCTCTCCCTCCTTCCCCTCCTCATCCCTCCCCCCTCTTTTGTTCCCTTCCCCCCTCCTTTCCCTCAGTGGTGCACTGCCAATATTTTCCCTGGAGTGTCAAGGCATCTGCCCGCATGCGAATTCTGTATCCGTGCTCCTCCCCGTCCTCTCCCTGCCCCCCCCGTCTCCGTCTTCGACGAGAGGCAGCCTCGCCTCGCAAAACCTGGCCGGGGCGCGGCTGGTGCCAATCTCGGATGGGGCCGCGCACGATCGCCCCCCAAGTAGGGCGTCCAGCAGCGGGCCCAGTGCCCCCCCGCGCGCTGGCCTTGTGCCCCGAAGGCCAGACCACGCATCGGCGGCGGTCCGAGAAGGACCGTGCGCGTTCCCCGCGCACTGCGCCAAGCGGCGGTGCGCAAGCGCCCCCACCCTTCTCCACGCCACGACCCATCCCTCCTTCTCCCTCCCCTCTCCCCTCTTTTGCTCCCCCCCACTCCCTTCCCTCCTTTTCGCCCCCCCCTCTTCCCTCTTTGGACCCCTGCACCCCCCCCCTTCCCTTCACCACACCTTTTCGCTCCCCTCCCCTTCGTTTGCCCCCTCCGCTCCGTCTTCCTCCTTTCCCTCCTTCTCCCTCACATATCCCATTCTTTAGCCCCCCCATTCCGATTCCCTTCCCTCCATCTCCCTCCTTCTCCCCCCCTTCCCCTCCCTTTGTAATCTCCACTCCCTTCCCTCCTTCTCCCTCTCCTCCCCCCTCTTTTGCCCCCTCTTCCCCCTCTCCCCCCTCACTCTTCTTCCTCCCTGCACCCCCTATTTTGCCACGTCCATTCTCTTCCCTCCCTTCCCTCCTCCGTCCTTCCACTCGTTTGGCCCCTCCACTCCCTCTCCTTGCCTTCCCTCCTTCTCCCTTCCCCCCCCATTTGTCCCCTCCACTTCCTTCCCTTCCTTCCCTCCTTTTTCTTCTACCTTACCTTTCTTTTGCCCACCCTCCACTCCCTCTCCTTCCTTTCCCTCCTTTTCCCTCCCCTCCCCCTTCTTTTGTTCTCTCCAGTCTCTTCCGTCCCTTGCCTCCTTCTCGCTTCCCTCCCTCTTGGCTCGTCTTGGGGTCCGCTTGGGTCCGGACAGGTCACGCGACAAGCCGCCGGACACCCCAGGCGGCCGCGTCAAACCCTTGCAGATTTGGCAATTTGGGCTTCGGGGCTCGTAAGGACTCCCTGCGATTGAGGACTGACGCTCAATGGATTCGGCAAAGGACCTGAGGACACGGGCGCTCTGAGGACACGCCCACTCCGTACCCAGCGGCACGGTGGCGGATCTTCACATGTCTTCTCTGATATCACATATCAACGAGATATACATAATGTATCGATGTGTCTCATCCGCTCTTTCTTATTAAGTTGCAATGCTAGTTATGTGGTTTTATTCTCTCCTCTTCTATAGCATAATACAGTCTGGGGTCTTCCCTTACCTCTCTCTTTCTCTTTCCCTTGTCTATTTTCCCTTCCTTCTCTCTTTGCCATCCTCTCTCTTCCCTCTCTGCCTGCCTTCCTCCCCTCCTCCTTCCTCCCTTCTCCATCCTGGGGCCAGGCCGTTTTCGCTGTCTCACTATAGGCAGGGCGTGAGTTGAGCCAGCTGTGTCAGCGCACGCTCTCGTTTTGTCCAGGGATGCCCTTGACCTTGAGGGACTTTAAGGGTAGCTCTTTGGGAGATGTTATATAGGATCGGGAGTATAGCTCGCCGCCCTATTTGCTCGGACACTGTTTGTGTTCGCTATGTGCTGGAAAGATCACTGCATCGATCTTATCCTATGTTATCCGTCCATTTCTCTTACTGAACCACCTCAGTACGATACCGGACGCTATTTGCAATCCGCTTCGCATGGAATCGGATGCTATTTGACTTACCGTAGTCATTTCAGACTTGGTAGCGGAGCTGGCCGCACTCTCGTGTGGTCAGCTCTTGCTCTTCTTATCATCACGCTATCCGGCAC